GTGCGTATATTTCAATGTCCGGAGCTTTTTACATTGATAAAACTATTCGTTGGAGGCGTATGTGTTGAAGTATTTGATTGCTTGTGGAAGAACCCCATTAACGACCCTAGGAGTTCGCATAAATATTAATGTACTGGTCGCCGAATTACAAAATAATCGTTCTGCAATGTTGCGATTAAATTCAATTGCTTTCCATCCTCATGGTTTGCATGGATGGATGCAGGGGTCCTTTTATGTACTGGCAATTTTGAAACTAGTAATAGTTTGAAGTCTCCTTGTGCTTTAGTTCCCTGGAATTCTCTCGTACTCAATCAGCAAGGCAGCTATAGAGCAGTTTACCAGAAATGCTGCTGTAGGTGAGTGGTATCCTACTAGCACTAGCACTTTCCTTGCCTTACTTCTACGTAGTATTCGTAATTACGTATTTTAGAACTCGGCAAGAAAGGTATTCGTGTGAACTGTGTTGCGTGAGTACTTGCTATTCCATTTCTAACAGTGATTAAGTCCGTTGTAAATGAGCCATCTCAGCTTGGATGAAATGCAAGAGAATGTCCTTTTCATTTCTGATTAGTTGATTCCACTGGATACTGCCTATGTTCACGCAGGAATGTTTATGCCGCACTGGTTTTGTTTATTGTGGACCACTGCCGAGCGTACATTTAGCCTAAACAATGAGACATCTAAGTTTTACAGTGCAGTATTTCTGTGTCCTGCATCACTCTCAATCCCTCTTCGAAACCATCTGTTGTTCCGTCAGTGCATCCTCTGCTCACCAATCTAGTGATGTTGAAAGCTGGGTAAACATTTAATGAGCTGAATAAAATAAATTCGGTTTAATTCCGAATTGAATGCATTGTTTAAAAAGCCGTATTTGTTTTACTAACGATTTTATTAGCACTTAGTTGCTCACAAAAATGCGCTATTTGGGTCTGACTGTTCTGAGGTAGTATTACCCATGCGTTTGGAAAATATTTTTCATTACCGGGAAAAGGCCTTTTGGAGATAAACGTCATCAGGCAGTAAACCATTTTAAAGTGATGGGATATCGATTCAAATCAGCACTGCTATTGGTTCTGAATGCATTGCATCCTGC